TCACCACCACCACCACCACCACACCACACAGCCAGCAGCAGCAGCGCAGCAGCAGCAGCAGCAGCAGCAGCAGCACCACCACCACCACCACCACACCACCACCACCACACCCACCACCACCACCACCACACCACCACCACCACCACCACCACCACCACCACCACCACCACCACCACCACCACCACCACCACCACCACCACCACCACCACCACCACCACCACCAACCACAACCACACACGCACACACGCACGCACGCACGCACGCACGCGCACCACCACCCACTACGCACGCGCGCGCGGAGCCACAGGTCCGCTACGACACGCGTCCGCGGACAGAGAAAATCAGCGCCATGGTAAGGGATGGGAGGGAGGGGTAGGACGTCAGATATGATGCGAGCGCACCTAGCTTGTCCTCCCCCCTCCCCCTCTCCCCCTCATCCTCCTCCTCCCCTTCCTCCTCGAGAGAAAAAAAGAGGAGGGATGGGGATGCAACAACGACCGGCGTCGAGGGAGGAGAGGGGGGAGGAGGCAGATGTCGGCCACGTCGGAGAGGCATAGGGCCACTAGCATGCGAACATTCGAGGGAGGGGACGAGATCATCAACAGCACCATTGACAGTCGATCGGACGCGAACACGACGCGCGAAAGGCAGAAGCCGGTGGCAACATACAGCGCTGAACCCCCAGCGGCGCTCAACGCCGCCAGGCACTGAAACGCACAAAGGGGGAGGGAGGGAGGACTGCGCATGTTCCCCGTTGGACTCCCGAGAAAGGTCTGGCGCGCTGCTTTGCGGCGCACGGTGACGTATCGCAGCGCGTTTGCGGAACGCCGCATGCACGGCGATGGCTCTCAAAGCGAGGCGTGCATCGAGGTTGGCGGCAGGAAGTCCGAGGATAGCGCCATGACCGGCTATCACAACAAACATCGACACAGGCCACCTGGTTCCAGTAATGTTCAAGTTGTGGTACAGTTATGACCATTGAGGGAGATGATGGAAGAGAACGTGGTGCTGTATCGACTCCTTACCGCTGTCGCATCCAGCAGGACATGGGGCGGACTTTCCGAGACTCATCTGGAGTATTCGCCCACGGCAGCTGCACGAATGAAGACGGCCAAGGCTCTCAGCGCAACCTGTTCGACAATCGCGCGGCAATAATGCAAGTACCGTGCACGCGGTGCCCAGGCAGCACGGGGAGGCCCAGCGAACTCGACCTTTCAGCACGGCTTGGTGCCCCTGGGCGGGACCGGCCCGTGGACCGCTGAAGCTGCCTTGGCTTGCCACCCCTCGGCGCGATGATGCGTCTGAGTGAGCAACGTCCATCCAAGGAGGGGCTGTTCGTAGAAGCGTCGGACGGCCTGCACGGCAGTTCCCCACTCGAGAGGACAACGGCGCAACAACCTGTTCCGAACGGCGAATCTCGTTTATAAGCGACTCCAACCTCCGCACCCAAGTATCGACCAGAAGCCCGCCGAATTGCAGATTTTCGTGAAGCGCAGCTCGAGCAGTGGCAACAACGGCAGCAGCCTCCAGATCACCGAACGAAGCCGATGTACTTCAGAGACTGCAAGAAGCTCGGGGCGAACCATCCGTATGAGCCTGGGAAATGACACGTAACCACCTGCCTTTCTTCGGATGGGCGGAGCTGGTCGGGCAAAGGGTCCAGCTGAACGATCAGCTACAAAACCACGCCCACGAACAGCCGGTTAACTTCGACGGAGAGCAACCACCCCAGACCAAGCCACAAAGCCGGTCTCAAAATTCGGCTTCCTCGCAATACTTCGCAAACGCTGCGCGCCAGGACTCGTCAGCGCAATCCAGGCACAAATAATAACCTAGGTATGTTGACTTGTCTGCATTCGCGGAGGAACCCCAGCTTGAGGCCAGGCTCGACGACCTCGCCCTGATACCCGCGAAGTCCTGGGCGAAACGCGGGACCAGCACGCACTTGTAAACGTTAAGCCCGAGGCCAGAGACGCAGCGTAACTCGCACAAGACAGCCGACCTCCAACTGACGGACGTGTGAACAAAGATTGGGTAAATCCGCAGCCTCGTCATCAGCGCAAGCCCAGAACACTCCAAGGGGTGCCCCGCGGACGACTCGGCGGTTGAGCACGTCCGTGGCCACGGCGAAACACGGCGGGGATAGCGGGCACCTGTGCCGCACGCTGCGGGCAATTCTGAGCTCGGGTTGCCACCCATGACTATGTCGCACGTCGTAGTGGTGTACAGGACCTGGATAAACTGGAGCAGCCCCAGAGGCCGGCCGACATGCCCCGAACGTGGCAGAAAAGGGAAAACGGAAAACGAGGCAAGTGTGGCGGTATCGGTGCCTTCTCCCCCCCCCCGGCCCAAAGGTCCACTCAGCAGTCTCACGGCGTTGCAGATCAAGCGATTGTCCGAGCTTGTCGCCGTGAGGGGGCGGACTCTCTCGGGGCCGTGGCAGCCCTCGCCGCTCTCACTGCGACCCGAAGTCTTCCGGGCCAGGAGGAACAACAGGCTCATGTTGAAGTCCACAACGACGTCATCAGAGAACCTGGGGCCCTCCTCCTCTTCCTCTTTCCCCCTCCTCCTGTTCCTCCCTCCTCCTCCCCTCCTTCCTGCTCCTCCCTCCTTCCCTCCTCATCCATTTCTGCCTCCTCCTGCCCGTCCTCCTCCTCCTCCACCGGCCTCCGAGTGTTCCGTGGTCACCATCAGGATGTCCCTGGACAGCCCGACGCACCGACGCCAAGCAACAAAAGCAATCCCACCGGGGCGAGGTGCGGTGTTGCGGGAACCGCGAAGCGCCTGCACGCGGTGCGATGCGCGCAACCGCCACCTCGCGCGACGGAGCGGGGACAATTCGCTGACCGGCCTGATGTCGCCGTCCTCCTCGAGCCAGCGGGGGCGCTCAGCGTCGTCCACTCCTTCGGCTTTGAATGCCTGCGTGGGGGAACGCGCCACGGCCCGTGAGCTCAGCGAGGGACTTCCCGAGCTCGTCAACGGCGTGCTCTTTGGCAAGCTCCTCAGCTGGTCGTCTCGTTTCTTGCGCTCGCAAGACGCATCGGGCCAGCGACTGCAAAGGACTTGTGCACTAGCCCCTATCGGACGGCCCAAACGCCCACATCGATGAATCCAACAAAACATGATATAGGAGAGGAAGCAGAGGAGGAGCCGAGAAAAGAGGGGAGGGCAAATACGAATATGAGCCAGAATCGTCTCATCCTGACGCGTGCCCTGCGTGACGAAGGAAACGAATGCCAGTGCCAATCTAAGCGGGCCCAGCCCGCACCGGTCAGAACGACCAACGGAATGGCACCAATATTCAGACATCGTATCGGGGTAAAGCCGGCTGGCCCAAAGCCCGAATGCACAACCGGCAGCGGTGCGCAGTAACAGACACAAGCTGAAACTAATGAAGGGCTGACCAGGCCCACGAGATTAACGACCAGAGAGCGGGCAAGAGAGGGAAAAGAGGTGGAGGGGGCGAGGGGAAGCAAGAACGCTGATTGTTGGAGCGGTACCTCTTGAAGTCAAGGTGGATGAGGTGCTGGGACCGCGGGTGGCCCACGACCGCCGCGCGGATATAGTCGCGGAAGGCGGTGGAACACTGGCCCTCAGGAAGCCCGTTGCACCAGGCGCTGTGCGCTTTGGGTAAGACCGCAATGGCGCGCAAGGCGGCCACGTCAGCGGTAGCGGTGGCCCACCGGGCAAGAAAAGGGAGGAACGCACATAAGGGAAGATCCCGACAAACTCAAAGTACGGGTTGTTGACGAAGTCGCGGAGGTTGGCGTAGCGAGAGAGACGCCCAGGAATGACGTGCCTCTGACCTCCCCCAGCGGCCCTAATGAGCTTGAGCTCGACGCCCAGGCGATCTTCCCTTGAGACTGCTGCGGGGCACCCTCTCTGCATTTCCTGCTCCAAGCGCATACCGACCGTCCGCATGTATTTCTTGTATCGCGAAAGCCAGGCCATAGCGTCTCTGCCTGGATCGTCCCGCAACAGCTCCTGAAAGTCCAAGATCCATCGCCGAAGTGAAATCGTCGGACATCAGCGCCTTGATACGCAAGAGCTGGGCTGCATCGCAAGGTCTCGGATGCGTGCTGCGAAAAAACACGGGCCGATGATGAGAGATATCGCGACGCCAATCGAAGACGGAGACCTGGAATACCCTGCTGAATTGATCCGTGACGGGGAACTTCGCGTATAGCCAGCCAGTCGAATTTCGCACACGCTCTTCCTGAGACATTTCGAACAGCCCTTCCCTCCCGCAGATCTCGGCCTGAAAATGCGTCTCATCAAAGACCGTGCCGCTGGCTAGTGTATGCGGCCGAAGCGACGGTGACCCCGTCCTTCGCGCCAGCCACGTAGTTGCAGCCCCCCCAAACAAATTTGAAGGACGTCGAGCCGTGGAGCCAACGCACTGCCGCCCGTGTGTCCCTTGGAAAAGCGATGCACCGGACTTGAACGCCTCTGGAATCCCGGCCAGATCGTGTCCTGCGGGGCCAGCGTGTGCACCAGTATGGAAGTAAGCTGCAGCCGGATCAGGAGCACCAGACACGCCTCGGAGTGAGAGTTTGGCAGCGCGGTCCCGCCAGATATGCGTCCAACGCGGTACACCGTGAGACTTCTGGGGCCAGGCCACCGCGCTGACGCTGGGAAGTCGCCAGACCTTGTGAACCACCTCGGCGCCGTGGACCTCCGTGAGCATCAACACGTCGGCTTCGTCCATCAGTGTGGAAACGTACTTCGCCTTGTCCTCATGTCTCAGCAGGTCCGAGCAGAATACGAATGGATAGAGGCACTGATGTGTATGGGCTGGGCTGGGCAAGAACACGCACACACATACACACACAAACACACGCACACACAGAGACACACACACACACACACACGCACGCACGCACGCACGCACGCACGCACACACGCACACACGCACACACACACACACACGCACACACACACACACACGCACGCACGCACACACGCACACACACAATCACGCACGCGCATGTGTTATACATTCATGTGGACGCTAATGCTGCATCATGTATCCTGCTCCCGCCGGGCGAGGCTGCGGGGCAACGGTTCTTCGCTGTGCCCGCGGCCCCTTCGAGGGAAGACACCTTCGCCGTGAGGACCTCGAGCGGCTCGGTTGGATCCCTGGTGCTGGCAAGGGCCAGGCAAGAGGCTGGAGCGCTCATCCCTCCTCCTGCATTATCCTTCTCCTCCTCCCTCCGCATCCCCCGACCTCTCCTCCACCTTCCCCTCCTCCCTCCAAGCCGCTCTCCCACGGCCAAAGGACGCACAGGCACTTGTGCCTCTGCAGCGTCGGCCTCACTCCACTGCGAGCCGCGCTGGCTGGGTCGGGGTGCGTGCCTCCCCCCCGCCCATGGCACGAGCAGCTCGGCTGCCGGACCTCCCTCCCCCCCAACCGGCACCCGCGGGCGCGGCAGACCGCCCGATCCGCGAAACGGTGCGATGCAGAGGGTGGGGAACAAGCGAACGAAGATCGTCAACTAGAACATATATATATATATATATATATATATATATTTATACGAAAAAAATCACAACAACTGCCTTGAATGAACAGAGTCCTGAAGGAAACGGGTACCGTAGGTTTGTGGGGCGTCGGAGCGCGCATTTTTTTTTGGCACCGCGTCGATCGTTCAACCTTGAATCGATCGCGGCCCCGATCGTTCAAAATTGAATTCCGTCGGGTCCTGCGGTGTTACCGTGCCCCTGAGTGGTTCCGCGTCGCTCTGTCATGCGGAATTTAACCTTGAACGCCTTCGCCGACGTCGCCGGTACGCCATCGCCGCATGAACCTACCGTACTGTCCTGAGGGGAACGGGTATTACACACTGCGGGCGACACTCGGTTTGGCAGTTCATACTGGCTCGTATTTGACGGTCCTGGTCCTGGGAAGGGCCCATGGAGGCCGAACGCACATTTGAATGCAGGGGCGCCCAGCATGCACGTGCATCATACCTAATCAGGCTCATCCTGTGCCCAAGAACGGCCCACGTGTCTTTACCTTGGACCAGAAAGAATAAACTCGGATCGGCGGACCTGGCTTTGCAGAGGCTGCCCTCAGTGTCAGATCGATCCCATCGCTTGCGTACTGACCTGCTTGAGTCGATCGCAGAATCGAGCCTCGGGGAGTTTTGCTCCCGAATCGATTGCAGCACTCTGCTCCAATGCCTGAGACGAGCCGAGGAAGAGGGCAGTGAGCTCTGTGGTTGCGGCATCAACTCGATCGATGCAGCGCGCCGATATCAGATCATGGACAGCCCAGGAGGCGCAGTATGGGTCTGGCCAGCTCTGTACAGGAGAGGCGCGCTGGCGACAAGGCGGGCTCTCTGCCAGCAGAGAACATGTCTGTACGTTCTTCCCCATATCCTCAGATAGGGTTCTTGGTGTTACTCTCACGCCTCCAGACCTTGCCCCTCCTTCTCCTTCTCTTCAGACGCACTCAGATCAACTCAGACACTCAAACTCAGGCTCACTCGCCCTCAGACTCACTAATACCAAGACCCACTCACACTCATCACTCCGCTCAGACTCACTCACCCTCAGACTCACTCACACTCCGACTCACTCATGCTCAGGCTCACAAATATTCACGCTCACCGTCATCTCTCCTGTTCCCCACCCATGCCCACTCATCAAACTCAGACGCACTCACACGCACACTCAGGCTCGCTCCTCTTCATCATTTAGACTCACTCATATTCGAAACCACTCGCACACACACACAGACTGTGATGATGCCTCACACGTGGCGCTGGCTTCGGCACCCCAGGGGGGGACCGCCAGACGGCACTTCACAGGCCCGTTCGCGCCCAGATTATGAAAATGTGTCAGGTGGTTTGCCTGTTTGCGTGCCCAGCATCTTTTGCTTCCGGAGCAGACTGTAAAGTCTCGGCGAGGCGCCGGCTTCAGCACCCTACGGGGGGAGCCGCCAGGGGGCACTTCTCGGGCACATTCTTGCACAGATTGTGGGGATGTCTCATGCGGCTTGCCTGTCGGCATGCTCAACATCCTCCGCTCTCGGAGCAGAGTGTGAAGATGTCTCAGGCGAGGCGCTGGTTTCAGCACCCCGGGGGGGAGCCGCGGAAGGGTGTGTCACAGGCCCGTTCGCGCCCAGACCCTGGGTATGCCTCATGCGGCCTGCCCGCTCGCGTGTCCAAACATCCTGTGCCTTCGGAGCAGACTGTGGGGTGCCTCCGGCCCAGGCGCCGGCTCCAGCACCCCAAGGGGGAGCCGCCAGAGGGGTCAACTCCACGGGCCGGTTCTCGCCCAGACCGTGGGGATGTCTCGGGCGGCGTGCTCGTTTGCGTGCCCAGCACCTTCTGCTGTCTGGGCCAAGTGTGAGGATGCCTCAGGCGAGGCGCGGATTTCAGCACCCCAAGGGGAAACCGCCAGACGGCACTTCACGGGCCCGTTCGCGCCCAGATGATGAAGATGCTTCAGGTGGTTTGCCGGTTTGCGCGCCCAGCATCTGTTGCTCTCGGAGCAGATTGTGGTGAAGATGACTCAAGAGCGGCGCTGGCTTCAGCACCCTACGGGGGTAGCCGTCAGGGGGTACTTCTCGGGCCCTTTCGCGCCCAGCCTGTGGGGATGTCTCATGCGGCGTACCTGTTGGCATGCTCAGCATGCCTTGCCGTCGGAGCAGAGTGTGAAGATGCCTCAGTATGTCCCAGGCCTGGCGATGATCTCAGCAGCCCAAGGGGAGCCGCCACACGGTTTTGCATCAGCCCCTCCGCGCCCAGTTGATGGAGATGTCTCGTGCGGAACGCCTGCTTCGAAGCCCCGGATTCCCCCTGCCCCCAGTGCAGAGTGTGAAGACGTCTCAAGGTGAGGCGCCGGCTCCAGCACCCCCAAAAGGGAGCCGCCAGGCTGTGTTTCACGGGCCCCTTCGCGCCCAGAGCGCGGAGATGTCTCGGGCGGTGTTGCCTGTCTGGGCCCCCCAGGCTAGGCGCCCCTGGACCTCACTCACTCGATCACCTCCTCCTCTTCCTCACTCAGACGCATTCACACTTACACTTGCACATCAGCACCCCATTCGCACTCAGACTCACTCATCACACTCAGACTCACTCATCACACTCAGACTCACTCATACATAGACTCACTCATACTTAGGCGCACCCAACTTAAGACTCTCTCACGCTCAGACTAGCTCACACTCTGACTTAGTCACAATCGGACTTTCTCACACTCAAAGTCACCAAACCTCAAGCTCACCCATCCTCAGATCCCCTCGTCTTCAGACCCAATCTCACTCAGGCTTACTCACACTCCAACGCACCCACACTCAGACTCGCCCACCCTCACACTCAGACTCAGTCGTACTCAAGTTCACCCACGCTCCTGCCCACACTCGTCATACCCATCCCATACCCAGAGTCAGCCACACTCAGACTTCCTCACGCTCCGACCCGCTCACGACCCAGCGCCCATCAGATTCACGCACACTCGGACTCACTCGTACCGAGACTCCCTCCTACCTAAATTCGCACTCGTCAAACTCATACTCAGACCCACTCACGCTCAGACTTACTCGCTCTCAGACCCACGCGCACTCCGACACGTTTACGGTCAGACTTACGCATGCTCAGACCCGCTGGTACGCAGACTCTCCCATACCGTGCACGAGATCCTCGATGGTGGCGACCCTGACAGCCACGCAACCGTCCGCAGCAAAACACCGATGCTTGGGTCCCCCTGGTCTACTTCGTCGATCCGGTAGTAGATGGAGCAGGCAGACGGCCGTGATCCGTCCCCACCGTGCTACTCGCTGCGAGGTCTCTCCCGCAGGTGCTGGCCGCGCCGAGCTTCGAGCGGTGTGGCTGGAGGTGAGGCAGAGCTGCCGTCGACTGGCTGCCCGGATGGAGCCCCCCGCGGCAGCATACTTTCGCTGAGCGCGCATCACATCGCCAACTGCACTGCGGCCTCGTCAACGGTGGCCTGCAACGGAGGATGAAGGACAACGGTGGTGTCGTCACACCCGTGTTCTCACAGCTGCCCAAAAACATCCGATGCTCCCCCGCACGACGGCGGCTAGAAAGAAGGGAAGCAGGAGGAGGGAGAAACAACCCTGCGTGACAACGCCATCTACGCCCCTGCTGGCTTTGGCGCTGGTATCTTCCACACCGCCATGCAACCAAAACCACATATACGTCACTTGTACGACTTGGGGGAACCAAAAGGTAGCGATACCGCTACTCCCCGGTCCTCTCCAGGGATGCCGTCTGACCAAAATTTCGGAGCGAATTCAGCAGTGGCAAGGAGGCCTCCCAGGAAGCCCAAAAAGGCGAAAACGAGGCAAGGGTAGCGGTATGGGTACCTTTTCCTCCCTTTCTGCTGCCTGCCCGACATGCCACGGGTCAAGCCAGCTGAGTGCGAGAACAAAGGGGCTCACGCGAGATGACATCAGTATCTTCCGCGGTGGATTGGGCGGGCCGCCAGCGCGGCACGCTACATCGAAATCGAGGGCGCTGACGCGCCACTTGTCCTGGGAAGCTCACGCACAAACGTACACACATTGCCGGCGCAAGCGACCCCGGTTTTGTTGGCGTCGCCCAGCTGGCCGCATGATCTCTGGTGCGGGAGCCTGCGCGGAGCGCTGGCCGAACGGAATCACTGACCGGCAACCAGCAGGTGAGCCTCCCCGCGCCGCAGGTGGCTGCCCCCAGACACGCGCGAGAAGACCTGCGCGGGCGACTTCTCTGGGCCAAAAGAAGAAAAGACGACTAACCACACTGAGGGGCAACGGGCGGGGGGGATCGGCATAGGGGGGATGCATCGACCTCGAATGGTCGATGCATCGCCAATGTACCGTCGATACCATATTGATGCAGACCGCCCCATGTATCGCCACACATCGTCAATACATCGCCCTGCTTTCAACAATAGATCGTCGATATATCAAACACTCGAGGTCGATGCACACACCCCTGCCTATCGCCCCCTATCGCTGCTCCCGACATGAGGCAGGTTCGTGTCGTGCCGACCCCGGCGTTGGTTTCTGACACGGCGGGGATCGTTCAACCTAGCACGATCACCCGTTTCCGATGCGTCAGATGCCGCTCAACATCGACCGACTCTGGGTCGCCGCTGGTCGACACGACGCGGACCTACGATAAACGTAAACTTCGGAAGTCCGCGCAGATTTCTTAGATGTTGGTCCGGGCCCACCTCCCTGGCGCGAAGAGCGCGCCAGGGGCGACGCCAGAGGCGCCGCGAGGAGGACCCAGCGCAGATCCAAGAAATCCGCGCGGACGCCTCCGAAAGTTTGCGCCTATGCCGTTTTTGTTCTTCTTCGATGGGTAGCAGCGCAGCAGCACCTCGACCGCGTTCTGGAAAGTCCCGTGGCCGAACACCACGACGGTGTCCCCGGCCGCGTGGCGGCCCTGCAGCTCTCTCAGCCACTCCGCGGCTCGAGCGATGAGCTCCAGGAGGCTCTCCCCCGATCCGTCCAGCGGGCGGGCCAGGAACGAGCCACCGCGGTACGCAGCCGCCGCCTCCGCGTCCTCGGCGCGGCCGGCTGCGGCCAGGCCGTCCACAGTGAAGCCGTGCCAGGAACCTGCGTCAATCTCGATGAGCCGCGCGTCGACGCCTGGGCTGGCGACGGGGATGCCCGCCTCTGCGAGTGTAGCCTCGTACTGCGCCGCCGTCTGCGCCGTGCGGCTGAGCGGCGAGCGGTAGAAGGCCCACCGGTCCGGGCCCGCGCGCAGCTCGGGCCCGAAGTCCTCCGCGAAGGCGGCGGCGCCGCGACGGGCCATCTCCACGCCAGACTCGGTGAGCGTCTGGTCCGGACCGCCGTCGGCGTGGCTCTGGAAGAGGAGCCCGACGTTGGAGGGCGTCTGGCCGTGAGGGACCATGATCAAGCGGCACGCGAGCTTGGCCGGGGGGGCGTAGCCGGGAGCATAGTCGACCGACGACCCCGCGAGGACCAGTCCGAGCGACTCCGCTGCACGCTCGGCCCACCCTGCGGCAGCGGCGCCCTCGCGGTCGGGACCGCTCGCCGCGGCGGCCCTCGCTTCGGACGCGCTGGGCACGCTTCGGAAAACAAACGAATGACACAAGCATGCACTTTCGGAGGTCCGGGCTAATTTCTGGGATCGGCGCGGGGCCCCCTGCCTGGCATGCGGAGCGAGCCTCAGGCGGTGCCGGAAGCGCCGCCAGGAGGCTCCAAGGCCGATGCTGGAAATCCGCGCGGACCTCCGAAAACTGTTGCCTATGTTTTCTTCTGTTTCTCGAACCCAGACCCCCGACGTCACGGTTTTCTGCGTTACGTGGACCCCCCAGCGGCCAGGACCCATTCCCCAGGACCGATTCTACACACCCCGAGCCGTTCTTTGGACAGCCCCGAGGGCCAGCGAGGGCAAGCTGAAAAATAGCGACTTGCCTCCAGCCATGACTTCCTCAGGACCCCAAGGTCGGGGATCCACTGACCCGAGTCAATCCAGACCCGGGTCAGTCAGGATTTGCAGGGTCCTACAAGATCCTGCAAGGTCCTGCAGGATCCTGTTGGATCCTGCGCCCGAGCCCTGGTCAGTGCACCCCTGGTCCGTAGGATCCTGCAGGACCCAGCGCTCTGGCTGACGCCCGTTTGCATGGACCCCCGTCTCGTGAGCCCCGACGGGGGGTCTGGTTGAGCAGGGACCGACCGTCCCGGCATTCCTGTAGGCCTACCACGAACTGCTCGTAGAACCCACAGATGTTCTAAGAGCAAAAACAGTGCTCTTATAACATGTACACGATGCATGCAAAACAGCACAGTCTCAGCCAGAAGATGTTCTGAGACCATCGCGCGGAAACCACGACACTTCCTCGGCACACTCTTCGGCGGGCCTATAGGCACACCGGGACGCTTCGCCACTGCTTGCGCTGGGCACGCTGCCCGGGCCCCAGCGGCTGGAGCCCCAGCAGCTCGAGGCGCACCGCGGCGCCCCCCGCCGCGGGCGCCTCCGCCCGCCGCGGGCGGCCCCGCCCGCCGCGGCGGCCGCGGCCAGGCCCGCCGGCACGTGCCGCACGGCGCGCGCGCCGACGCCGCCAGGCCCAGGGCGCGGCGGCCCTCGCCGCGCGCCGGCTGGCCTGAGGGATCCTCGTCGATCCTCCTCCTCCTCCTCCTCCCCTCCTCTCCTCCTCCTTCTCCTCTCTCCTCCTCCTCCTCCCTCCTCCTCCTCAATCCTCCTCCTCCTCCTCCTCCTCCTCCTCCTCCTCCTCCTCCTCCTCTCCCTCCGTCTGGGTAACGGTGGTTCAAAGATGGGGCCCTGAGGGTTGGGATCCTAAAGCAAGGAAGGGGTCCAAGGATGATTTTACAATGTTTGAGGCACCTCGTCCGTAGGACCCCATCCCTCAGGACCCCATCCTTGAACCACCAGCGATGTGGGGGGCTGGCTCGGGGGGGGGGGGCATCGGCCTGGAAGCGGCGACGCGTGTGGCGCTGGAGAGCGGGCCTCGCCTTCGAAGATCGAAGCATCGTTGGCCCCTCCTCCTCGGCGGGTAAGTCGGCGGAGGGTCGGCAGAGGCCAGCGGAAGCAGGACGAGGGCGGCCCCTCCGGCGGAGGGCCGGCGGCACCTGACGGACATGGACGATGCGCCCCTTAGAGATGACAGCGTCTTTGGGTTCAGGGCTCCCGGGATCGGCGACACATCGCCGATCGATCGGCGATGGGCCCCCAAAGGCGAGTCCGCACGCTCCTTGGCAGGGGTGGAGCCATCGGGCCCCCATCGGCGACCAATGGGCGATTGTGGGTGGGATGCGACCCCCCTCTGAGCCCATCGTGGTTCCGGGCAAAGGGGGTCTTTTGGGACGCACAGGGACATACTGTTACTATATGTCCTCCTTGGAGGCGCGCGTCCGACCCGAACATATAGTATGCCCATCTTGTAGTATATCGTTTCCCGAGCGTTGTGGCCAGAAAGCGCCCGCCACGACGCATGTACTATAAGATTTCTCGGTGCGCGCGTCGCCCCTTGGGGGGCGACGCCCATATAGTATAAACAGGTTGGGGTGACGCCGATCTTTCTTTCGCAGTGGGGTCGCCCAAAACATGCAATTGAGCCTCTTGTGGCTCATGGCGCGTGGCCTCTCTGACGGACCGACGATGCCAGATGCAGCGCATTCTGCCCGCACCTTGCCCGCATCAAACACGAACGATTGCACGAACTACTGCGCTCTTCAGACCCCCTTTGCGCACGACCCAGTCGCCAGAACCTGACTATCGCCCCAGCCGACACCGCTACTCCCCAAACCTTCCCTGAGGTGCGTTCTGACCGGGGTTGTGAGGCGAATCCGGCGGTGACGACGAGGGCCTCCGAGGAGCCCGAAGATGGGGAAATCGGGCGAAGGGTATCGGTATGGGTACCCCTCCTCTGAAGCGAGGGCCCTCCTAGATGAGGTCAGAGTAGATGGGGTCAGAGGATCGCGCCGCATCGCCGACGCATCGGCGACGCATCGGCGATACATCGTCGGCGTCGACGATGCATCGGCGACGTCGACATGAAGCAAATCGTGCTCCACATCGAGCCGCATCAGCGATGTATCGGCGATGCGGCGCGATCTTCCTGCCGCATCTACTCCGACCCTATCTAGGAGGCCTGGAGAAGCGTGCGTTGCCCCTGCTCGCCGCGCGCCGGCGGCGCTGGCCGCCATCCCGGGCGGATCCGCGTGTGCCGCCAGCGCAGGCCAGAGGAGCATGGCCGCCACAGCTCGGGGCCAGCGGTCGGCGGCGAGCAAGGGCGGGAAGCGAGAAGGAGAAGGCCTTCTCAGAAGGCGGCGGGACTTCTCAGAAGCCCTCGCGCCTTCTGAAAAGTTTTTTCTGTGTCTTCGGGGAATGCTTCGAGAGCTTCCCGGAAGGCCGTGGGACTGCAGAGCCTTCCGCGGAGGCCTTCGCCTGCTCCGCTTCCTCCTCCCCCTCCTCCTCTTCCTCCTCCCCCTCCCCCTCCTACTCCTCCCCCTCCCACTCCTCCTCCTCCCCTCCCTCCTCCTCTCCTCCTCCTCCTGTTCCTCCTCCTCCTCCTCCTCCTCTCTCTTCCTCCTCCTCCTCCTCCTCCTCCCTCCTCCTCCTCCTCGTCCTCCTCGTCCTCCTCCTCCTCCTCCTTCTCCTCCTCCTCCTCCTCCCTCCTCCTCCTCCCCCTCCTCGCTCCCCTCCTCGCTGGCCGTCGAAGCGAGGGGGCCCAGATCGCCAGCGCCTCGGGAGAAGCGACGGGGCGGCGTGGCTGCGCGGTGCTCGGCCTCTGCGAGCCCTCGCCGGGCCCCAGGGCTGTCCAAGGACGAATCTTGGCGCCGCGCACCTACTGAGCATTTTCTTAGGGTGGAGGGCTCAGGGTGACATCCATATGGTCTTTCGCACCTCGAAATCAATCCGTCTTGTGATTAACCTTTTGCAGATTCAAACCTCGCAAATCGTTATCAAAACGGCACTTCAGATCTCACCCTGTGCCCTCCACCCACAGAAAAAGCTCGGACCCAGGGGGGGAGGGGGGTGGGGGAAGGCTCCTCAGAAGGAGGCCGCTCCTGAGAAGGCGCCGACCCTGCATCTACAGACCAGGCCCGCGCCTGCTGAGCAGGAGCGCTTCTGAGAAGCCTTCCCCTCTCCCCCTACCCCCCTTGGCGCGTGGCCCAAAGGCTGTCAAAAAACAACTCCTCCTCCTCCTCCTCCTCCTCCCTCCTCCTCCTCCTCCTCCTCCTCTCTCTCCTCCTCCTCCTCCTCCCTCCTCCTCCTCCTCCTCCTCCTCCTCCTCCTCCTCCTCCTCCTCCTCCTCCTCCTCCTCCTCCTCCTCCTCCTCCTCCTCCTCCTCCTCCTCCTCCTCCTCCTCCTCCTCCTCCCCCTCCCACGACTCGCAAACTGCATGCGCGAAAATGGCCTGGATCCGCCGCGGGATGGGATCTATAACGATCCAGTACCTCCAAGCAGCCGTGATGTTTGCTCGCACCTTCTGCTCGCGAGTGGGCATTTTGCCAGCACCATGGAGCGCGCTCGGTGAGCGAAACGGGGCGGCCCTGGGGGAAGGGTTCGGCGGGAGCTTCCGGCGACCGCGCAGGGAGAAGCTCGAGACGCCAGAGGTCCTCGGAGGGGGCGGGCGGAGCGGGCGCCCTCTGCCTCCCGCGCGAGAGCTCGGGCCAGGCTGCAGAGAGGAGGAGGCGGAGGAGGAGGAGGAGGAGGAGGAGCGCTCGGTGAGCGGCGGAGGAGGAGGAGGAGGAGAGGAGGAGGAGGAGGAGGAGGAGGAGGAGAGGAGGAGGAGGAGGAGGAGGAGGAGAGGAGGAGGAGGAGGAGGAGGAGCGCTCGGTGAGCGAAAGAGTCGGCCCCGGGGGAAGGGCGGGAGCTTCCGGTGACCACGCAGTGAGAGGCTCGAGACGCCAGAGGTCCTGGGAGGGGGCCGGCGGAGCGGGCGCCCCCCGGCTCCCGCGCGAGCAGCTCGGGCCAGGCTGCAGAGGGGAGGAGGCGGAGGAGGAGGAGGAGGAGGAGGACGAGGAGGAGGAGGACGAGGAGGAGGACGAGGAGGAAGAGGAGGAGGAGGAGGAGGAGGAGGAGGAGGATGTCCGCACCTTCCAACCGGAACGCTGGCAGGAGGTTCGCGAGGGGTCGGGTGGTCCACCTCTCATGCTGGCGGCGCCCTGCCCGAGAACGCGACCAGGACTCCCGCAAGCCTGCCTTCCCACGCGCTCGACCTCGCGCTCGGTCCAGGCTCCTGCCCGCAGGGCTCCAGGACGACCCAAACCACCAGGCAGAACTGGTATGGCCTGTACTTGTGTTTTGTGCTGTCCATCCTGGCCGCCTTCAGTCTGAATTTGGCGGCGCCAGCGCGGCCAAAGACGTTCCCGAGAGGAAGCATGAGGACAGGCCTGAGACGGGCCAAGACTGGCCACAAACGCCCCTCTCAGATGCACCTGAGACTGCACACGACGGACCCAACACGTTCCCCGTCTTTGCGTGGGTAGCAGCCTCCTCGTCTGTGAAACCTGTGTCTCTAATGCATTCTGGTTTAGCTCCAGCCACTCCGCTATCACTTCATACATACTGCTGGTACCCATGGGTATACCGTGCCCGTCGCCCCCCTACTCTAACAGTGCACCCTTCATGTACTTGGTGTAAGTTTCAGACGTGCCGCGCGGTCCGCCCGACTTGCAACAGTGGTAGGTTTGTGCCGCGAGAGAGCCTGCCATGTGCGTGTGCACTGTCCCTGCTTCTCACCTCTCTTAATCGCAGCACCGAAGTGACATACCTTGACTGATCCGATCGGGGCACGTGCTCGGTGTGCCCGCTTCTACGGGCGACTTGACGTGGCGCGAACGGGAGGAGGTCCAGAGGTCTGGGGTTGCTCGTCCTTTTCGTTTCCCCGGGCCCCCCTGGGTCCAAACAGAGTTGGCCCGAAGAATTGGCTGCACATCCAAGAGCCCAACGTGCACGGGTGCCCCCGTGACCGTAGGCGACCCGAGGAGGAGGAGGAAGAGGAGGAGGAGGTGGAGGAGGAGGAGTAGGAGGAGGAGGACGCGGTGTAGGAGGAGGAGGAGGAGGAGGAGGAGGAGGAGGAGGAGGAGGAGGAGGAGGAGGAGGACGAGGTGCAGGAGGAGGAGGAGGAGGAGGAGGAGGAGGAGCCTGAGCCCTTCGGGGAAACCCTCCAGCCCAACGTGGCCTTACGTTTTGCCATTGTGGCCATCACTTCCAGCAGAGAAACAGACAAGCCTTGGATTGCTTGTCGTCCTGCCCCCCCCCCCCAGACCACCCCCTTCGGCCCGTCCCCCGTGGAAGAAGCTGCGCGAGCCCGAGCTGGCGTGAGCCCAGGAGTTCGGACCAGCTCTCGGCTTCGATATTTGATCCACGGATGTTGAGCAACACTCCCAACGTACCCTGGACCAAAATACCCCAGAAGTCGTGCCAAAGAGAGGAATCCTCCAGGGTCTGCAGACGCCTTGGCACAATCCTTAACCAACGCCCAACATCGTAGAACTGCCTGCTTTGGCATGGCAGGCGGGTACCACACACTCAGCTCCAGCGTTCCAAGTCGCTGTGTAAGGTTGTCGCTTAATATATGAGTGAGGCTGCAAGTCGATCGGCACCGCTTGTTCGGGAGGCGACGTCTGTTCACCCGCTCTTCGGCGTGGGCTCCCTGTGCACACCTCTTGGACCCTACGAGGACCAGCGGGAACGCCGCCAGCGGCGGCGGTCATGCAACCTTGCCTCTCAATGTCTGCTCCCGTGTTGCTCCCCTTATCTCCCACCGTCGCCTGTCTCATGCACGATTGTTGCTTTGGACGCCGCGGACAACGTTGTCTCGCAGGCAGGGGTGTGTGCAGGACGAATCAAAGACAGCAAAGCAGGGAGGAGAAAACTTCGAAGGGGGTGGACGGGGAAGGATGTGGAAGTGGGAGGGACGGCATAATGAGGAGGACAGGGAGCTTGCCGAGGGGCACGATGAGCAGCAGAAGGAGAAGGAGCAGATGGATGAGGAGGGGAAGCGGGTAGGTGGGACGAGGGGGGGGGGCAAGAGGAGGACGAGCGGAACTGAGGACACGAAGGAGGAGGAGGAGGAGGAGGAGGAGGAGGTGGAGGAGGAGGAGGAGTGCGGCACAACGGGCGCCTCCAGCCTTCCAGCTTCTCCTGGACGCCCTGCAGCGCCCTGGTCAGGGAGGCCACGGAGGCCTTCCGCGGCACGGGCGAGGCGCCACGGCGCCACCCGCACGCAGACGGCGTGCCCTCTCACGTTTTGCCCCGCCCTCCCTCGCCGAGATGGGGGTGACGATAGCGGTGGAGCACGCGGGGGGGATGAGGAGGGAGGGGTAAGACGAAGCCAGGACGAGGATCAATTCGGGCGAAGATGACATGAGAATCTCTGAGATCTGGCGGCTCTGGAATATTTCTCGGGCGCCGCGGCCTTCTCAGAGCGTTCCGGAACGTGCTGAGAGCGTTCTGGAACGCTCTGCAACGGATTGATCCTCGTCCCAGCCCCGACGCGTCCGAGCCTGGATGCCGTCAACCTCTCTTTGTGTTGGTCATCTCTCTCTCTCTCTCTTTCTCTCCATCTCTCTCTCCTCTCTCTCTCCCTCTCGCTCTCTCGCTCTCTCTCATTCTCCCTCTCTCTCTCTTTGCATGTGTATCCCTCTTTCGATACGTATATATATATGTATGTATGTAGATGCATTGATTGTCATTGCGTGCGTGTGCCTGTTGTTTGTGCTCCCCTCGATACATATCTATATCTATATATATGTATATATATGTATGTATACATGTATACCCATATAGTTATATTCACCGATGTATGTTATAGTTGTGTATACATGTGTATATATGTGTGTATATATATATATATATATATATATATATATCGGGCCCCTGTGCTGTGTAGCGAAGTTGCGTGTGCTCAGCGGGCTCCCATGTTGCGATTGCCAGGAGGCGGGTCACGTGCAGGGATCCAGCGCAGCACCCGCACGAAACCAGCAGAGGCGTCCCCTGCAGACATCCGCCCGCCAGGCCGTACGGTGCTGGCCGCCGCCGCCGCCAGGTGCGAGGCGTCGCGGCGGGCCCGCGGGGCGGAGAGATGGCAGCACCAAAGAGCAGCGGGGCGCTCTCGAGCGCGTGGAAGCCACAGGCAGGCATGTGCATCAGCCAGTGGCTTTTCAGGCAGACGAGCGCGAGGATGGTCGTGATGATCGCCCTCCGTCCTCCCCTCGCCCCCTCCTCTGCAAGCGAGGGGGAAGACGAAGAGAGCGAAGAGGAGCGGGGGGAGGGGGACAGGGGAAGGGCCTCGAACTCCTCCGTGAGCGTCTCCATCTGCCGCCTCTGGTCGGCCACAGACGCCTGGCCGCGGGGGCTGGAAGACCGGAAGCAGGACCGCGGCGATCTGCGCCGTGGTCGCCGTCGGAGGAACGGCAGGGGCGGGAGCGAGAGAGCGGGAGGACAAGGAGGGGCGCGAGAAGGAGTCGAGGCTTCTATCCAGGAGTCTAGTCTGGCTACGCGCGCACACCGAAACGGCACAGGTTCCAGGCAGAGAAGAAAACGGGCGGCCACAGACGACGGCGACGACTAACGACGATGGCGAGGACGACAACGATGACAAGACGAACGAGCGCAACGACGAGAGGCACAAGGAAAAGCAATCGGAGGGGGAGGAAGAAAACAATAATGTGGATGTGCAGTCGCAGAATACAACAAACACATGTGATAAGAAATCTTGCTGTAAAAACGGAAACCGCCGATTGTGTCCATTGGGATCGCAGGGGGAAATAAGGATGATGGCGACGACAGGGCGGGGGATGACGAGGATGACAGCGTGGATGACGGGGAGGGCAGCGGGGGGAACAAGAGGACAACGAGTAGGAAGCCAAGCACGAGAACGAGGGGGAATAGGCGGAAGAGGACGAGTACGAGGAGGAACGGAGCGGAGGAGGAATGGAATGGAATGCCCTCGAAAGGGGGAGTGCACAGCACCAAGGTCTGATCAAATCAGAGTGACTAGCCAGCTCTTCTGGCTTCCTTCGCACGTATACGGTCCAACAGGGCCGCCATTCTTTGCTCGTAAGTGGGTGCTTCCCTGGAGGCCGAGAAAACAACTGGCACCACTGTAAAGTCAGGCATGCTCACCGAGGGGGCCGACTCGACCGAGGAGGCGAGCGAGGGGAGGCCAAAGCTACGCCCCAAGAGCACCCGTAGTCGAGGGTTCGGCGGCTTACCCTGGTAGTAACGCTTTAAAACCTCCTGACCTTTCTTAGTGGGCTTCTCATCTGGCCTTATGCAGGGTTTCGCCAGCTTGACGGCGCGGCCCTGGGACCAGGCTCCACAGCGCATGCAAATCCAGCACCGCTTCTCAGGGGCATTCACTCTCACAAACGCCCAGGAGGCCAGTTGATCGCACCGCATCCCAGCCGTGACGACGACGTGTCCCATGGGGTCCCTGAGAAGCCTTCTTATGCCGACTGGGACGCCTATGCATCCGTTCACCCAACTGCAACTGGTCATCTCCTCCCAACTTAAGGCATCTCCTGCACTGGCGGCCGAGGGTGGGATGGTTGTGCCAGTCATGAAACTGCTGCCTCACCGAGGATGTGTTCCTGCGGCGCGGGGCGGCACGCGTCCACCTCGGCGACGCTTCGAACAAGGGAAGCACAAGAGAGGCGAGCTTGATGAAGTGATTCACGCGCTCCTCAGCGAGCGACGCAGCCTGAAGGAAAAGAGGATCAGCAGAAGGATGAACCGACAACGCCATCTTCGCATGGTGATCCACAGCGGCATTAGCAACTGCATATTCACGCTCCGTCATTTCCAGAGCTTCGATCTCCTGACTGGATCGGCGTGCTTTAACATGGCGAATTCGTTCGATGAAACTCGTACCTTCCAGTGACTGAGCGAACAGCCTGATGCCAGCAAACTTCGAAGATGCATGCAACTGCTTTTCGACACTGCTCTGCGCAATCAGCATGGCTGACGTGCAGTCGGCAGCAAGGACAGTTCGCCTGTTCGCCACCTGACCGCACAGCGCAGTAGCAACATGCTCCGCCATCGCTGGCGTCTGGGGGAAGATACCGTGGACCACTCCACGCATTACAGCAACGGGCTCGGGCTGATCCCCGCTTGCAGGCAGCACTGCGATGGCCCACGACGCTCGCTGGAGCGCGCGGATGGGGGGCTTCGAGCATGAGCCGCCCGAGGCAAGTCTTAAAGTCTCCTCCCCCGACAACTCAGAAATCCTTTCAGGTTCCAAAGACAGCGGGCTTCCAGAAACGTCAAAAATCTCGACCTCCGAAGAAACAGAAGGTTTTGGCAGCTTGCTGTCTGGATAAACAAAAATGCCCCTGGTGAGAGTCTCCAGGTCGGGCTCTGCACGAGCCGCTTCCATGAACTCCCTTGGGACTTCAGCCTCTTCTCTAGCTCGGGCCACGTCCTCACGGGTGCACTCGTAGAGTCTGTGATGGAGTGTGTCGACCTGACCGCAAGAACAACGACCGTCCGTGGCGTAACCCGCACGACACCCTCTCTCGTTGGTCCACATTCCATTGCATGCACAGCTCCGAATCAAAAGCTTGGCTTTCCTGCTAAGCCCCCGAGCCTTCGGCCCCACGCGAGATCTAATCAGATCCAGGGTGGCCCTTTGCCCTGGGGGATGACCTAAACTACTGGCTAATTTCATCTCAAGTTCTCGCTGAATTCCCATCGCAAGCTGCTCGGCTAGGAGGGCGGGCGGGGTCTGATCCACTAGGGCCTGCAGTCCATTGTGATCGTTCCACTCAAGTGGGCCCCTAGCCTCCCAACCCGCCCTTGAGATCACTAGCACCGCACGAGCCAAATGCCCCCTCGAGGCACACCACGGACCAGCCTCCAGAGGCCTCGCCGCATCCCAAAGACGCAACCGCTCTCCACGACTGGCTAGTGCTCTCAGGGGCTGTGTCGTCGCAAACCAGATCAGTCTACACCACTGCAAGGCTGGGGCAACTGCGATTTTGAAGCTGTGGTCCCCTAACAGGACTAGCTTCGCCGACAGAGACACCCCTCCGTGGGCAGGCGAAAAAGCGCAGCTCTGCAGTCTCTGGTGGGACTTCCCTTCGCTGAGGCTCAAACCTGTAAGCTCGGCTCCAAAACTGCTGGCTGGTGAAACCCCAGCTCCAAATACTTTGGCGAAAGGGGCCTCCTTTTCACATCCACGGAAACCTCGTCTAACACGCTTGACTTTCCTAAGCCTCAGTCGTGCAGCTGCAAATCTACTCTTATGTTTTGGCCTTGCTCCACGAGCGGGTCTCTTTAGACCTGCCGTCTCGTTCACCCCCCGGTACGCGACGCTGTCCTTGATCACGCCCAAGCCGCCCCCTACCTCCTGGCAGATGGCCCTGCCGAGCTCCTTCGACGAGGCTATGAGCGCTACCCTGTCTACGTTGAGCGTGGCATTGATGGACTTGGACATCTCGCGAAACACCGTGAATGCCTGCACTGCAACCCCTTTCGCAATGCCGAACGATGACGAGGCATTTCCGATGGCCGTGTCATCGATGTAGTTCAGCATGGTGACGGTGGGACAGCGATGGAGAAAGGCATCCATTTCCATAACTGAGCGTATCTTTATCGCAAAATCCGCAAACCCACCTCCAGCTGGAAGACCGTGCTCAGCATACAGTGGAACCTGCGCGTGATGGCGGCCGCAGCGTATGATTCTTGGCGCTCTCCAGGTGTTGTGCACGAGCTTGAGCCAACATGTCGGGATCCCCACACGAGTACATTTCATGCGCAACAGCGGCAACGGAATCGACTCATAATACTTGGACCAATCAATGACCCATAATGCTGAGTGAAGGGAGTCTGCCTGGTTGGCTTCAGCTCGCGCTGCTTGCAGCCATGCACAGTCGATTGCTGATCTGCCCCTGGACGCTCCCCAGAACTTTCGGTCCAAACTGTCTATCACTCCAGAGACCATGCTGCGCCTGGCTCGCTGCCAGACCCTGCACATACCAGCATACAAGATGATCAAACGATTGCCTCCAGCGGGCTTGCCTAACATGGGCATCTGAATCCAGCATAGTTGCTTGGGCAGCATTCCGATGGCCTCCGCTATCATCCAGATGCTACTGAGAACCTCCAACCCAGCGTCTCCCAAGAGCAGGGCATGTCGCGGGTGGAAATGATCAAAGGAAGAGGCCGTACCTTTGGGGAATGTCATCACAAATTTTCTGATCTGGTCTGGCGACAGCCTCGGGCATGTGGTACGATCTGGTATCCATGCGAAAGGTGCCGTGTCGGTCGCCTTCCAGAGTCTGCGGCATGCATCAACTTCACCTTGCACGATGTCTCGTGGGTCGCCCGAGACAACTTCACCTTGTGATACGGCTGGAACACGTATCTTGCGCACCTTCGTCACCCGACGTAGTGCCCTGGCGCCCTTGGCCGAAGCTTCGATACACCAACATTCCCATGCCTCCATAATATCTCGCATCTTAGCTTTGCTGGCGAAATCGACGTCATCTGCGATCTCTTCGACGAGCTGGATGATGTCGTCTACATTCATCGGTATGCATGCAACCATCGTTCGAGCCTGCGAAACAGATGCGTCCAATCTTCCACTTAGCCCTTGACCACTGTAAGAAATGACAAGGAAATTATCGATCTCTTCATAACATTGCTCCATGTGCTGTGTCCCTCTGAAGAGCTGAGTTATCGTAGTTACTTGTTGATAACCACTGCCATCCATCAGCCACCGCTTGGGCCATCAAATCAGGCTTCTCCTGGTAGCTGACATCTGCCCATATCGAATGTAAATTGCGTCCAAAACAGCCTGCCTGCACTAGATCATATCCTGTCGCATGGGCAACCCCCATCGCAGCAGCGACCGCGAACTGTCCCCACAGCTTTGATAGAAGCGCCCAAACCACCGCAGCATCGCTGTTATCATCAAGGGCCATGTCCAAGCACGCATTCGCCAAGATGCTGCGTGTGGACCATGTCGGGCCTTCACGAAGCGGCCCTGTGGCGCGTTCAACAGGAAGAGCAGGCGTGGCCGTGTATATGAAGTGCCGAATCTTCTGCCCGTGGTCGAGTAATTTGAGCAACGCTGGACGGCGAGGCCGCTTGCTCCAACGCATGTCGGCCTCCACTCCCTGAACACCTCGCAGCGCAGCATCGTTCATCGCGAAGTAGTCGATGGTCGACGCTCCTGTTCCACCACGGCATGTGACCTGCTTCGGCACTGTCATGGTGATGTTTGCCAACCTTGGGAAACCTGAGCTCTCGAGTTCAGTCGCAGACATGTTCCAGTCAGCACCAGCAATGAAAGGAGCATGGATCTGAGCAAATAGAAGTCCCACACGAGAAAGAATCTCACTGTTTGCCCCCGTCACGCCGATGCCATCCTTGAGGCATGCATTAATCACATGCAAAGGCGGCCAGCCTGGCATATCAATCATCACATGCTGACAGCGACGAGGGAAACCCACGTGGTCATGGTGATCTGGTGCCCTGAGCCCAAGATCATTGCGAACCAAAACGGCAACTCCAGCAGAGCAGGGGTTGCGAACTGTACTTGCTCGACTGGGACGACTGGGAACTGCCGTCATCTTCCATCCCCGAGCATGCGTCCATGAGAACATAGATCCCAGGTCGCCTGCGCAAAACCCTATTTCACAGTCTGCTTGCCACCGTTGCCGTTGAAGCACTCCACGACGTAGTGCCCAGGATTATGATCATGATGTGGCCGCTTCGTCATTCCCTGGGCAATCGGCAATCCAGAGACTCGAATAGGTGCATATCCTGCCTTCCCCAGCTCAGACGTCCATCTCGCGGGGGCATCAGGAACAACGTTGCTTCTTCGCAAGCTCCCTGAGGGCCCCTTGAAAGCTGGAAAATTCATTGGCTTTGCCATGCTCAAAGAGATCCTTGAGCTCTGCTTGAGATAGCTCGTCGCATGCTCTCTTATAGACGGAGTCGGACGCACGAGTGCCATGAGAATCAGGAGGCACTTCACCATGATCAGCGGGAGTAGCAGAAGGGCCCTTCTGTGCGGCGGCCGCACCTGCCTTGACCTTCTGCATGATGACCTCCTTGAGTGTTGACCACATGTCAGAGTCGAGGAAGGTCTTGACATCTTCCGTCTGAGCATCCTCAGCAGTGACGGAGATGTCGAACTCAGTCTCCATGGCGTCGGCACCCTTGTTAGCTGCGATCGCGGCCGCTGACTGCTTGTGCTCCGCCCCAAGCGCTGTGACCTCAGCCTGCTTTGCTGCCAGGTGGGTCCTGCGCGCTTCGACCGACTCTTGGAGCTCCTTGAGTTGCTTCTCTTTGTCAGCGAGCTCCTTCTCGAGGCGGTCCCTTTGAATCTTGGCCTTGTGCAAATCCTGAGCAACCCTGCGGTACGCGATCTCGGGCGTGCGTAAGGACTTCTGCCGTTCCTCGATCTCACGCACCTTCTCGTTGGTGGCCTGCCTGACAGGATCATCGGGATCGTTGCCAGGAAGGTCCTTGAGGATGTTTTCATACGTCGATAGCTGCACCGCCAGCTTCTCACGCTTGGTTTTGTCATCGTCGTCATCGGTGATCGGTTCCTTGTTGGCTGTCGCTGCCGGTGGTGGAGCACTCCACGGCGGCGGCTTGGCAGGATTCGGGCTGCTACCGACGGTGAGTGTCCGCAGCATCTTCTCCAACTCAGCCAACTTCTTGGATGTCGTATCACTTTTGTCATTCGTATCCTTCTTGTTGCCCTTCTGCGGGGACATCTCGCCGTTGACGATCGCATAGTGATGTTCCCAGGCGAGCTTCCTGATCCGCATCGGAGCTTCATTCCCGCACTGGCAGCGGACTCGTGATGCCCAGTTCGCCGAGGCAGCACATCGTCCGCAACCCCATGTCGGCCGCCTCGGCCCACGGAGCACCGCAGGAGGAGGCGGGGACGGCGCCATGGCGGCGACTTGGTCGTTGGTTACTCCTCTGCCTCCAGTCGGAGGCGATATCGTGAACAAGCCAAAAGGCTCGCTGCAGCGTCGCCGTTCTGAATCCAGCTGCAGCAAGCGCAAACCTGCGCCAGAACGGCTTGAGCCAAAATGGCTACGGAGGAGCGGAGGAGGAGGAGGAGGAGGAGGAAGAGAAGGAGGAGGAGAAGGGCGAAGACGCCGAAGGAGGACAGGAAGGCCACCGTGCCCCGAGGCACGAGTTAGAATGTCCTCCTGTCCCTCCAGCCATCCGTCCTCAGCCATGGGAGAAGTGATATCAGGGGGCCCGGGCCCCAAATCGTCGGCTTCCCCAGGGCTTCCAGCATGCTCCAGGGGCTTCCCGCATCCCGGGGCGTGTCCCCCCGCCTATCTTTGTTGCAGCCAAGGGGGGCCAAGAGGGGCCCAAGAGAGCCCCTAGAGGCACCCAAGACGGTCCATGAGAGCCCTGGCTAGGCCCAAGGACGCTCCAAGGGGTCCAAGATGGCCCTGCGAGGCTCCCCAAATACCCCCCAGGATAGCCCCAAGAGAGGCCCCAGAGCAGGAACACGACCCGACATTTCGAGCCCTCCGCCCCAAGATGACTCCCGAGACACCGCCAGCAGGCCCCCAAGGGGCCACCGAAAGCCCCGCGAGGTCCCCGAAGTGCCCGAATCAGGTCATCAGGGGCCCCAAAGGCCCCCGACGGACTCCCAGACACCTCCACAACCGCTGCCAAGAGGCTTCCCAGAGGCCTCCCAGAAGACCCCCGCAGGCATCCAAGCGGCCTCTGACCTTCAGAGAGATAAACAAATCACACGTCGGTCGGAAGAAGTAGGCAGAAGCATGAAGCAGGAAGGCGGATATGGCGGATTGGGTCCAGGGCCCCCCAGAGAATAACGGAAGACAGCAAAAGCATGCCGATTCTTGAGGCAGGCCCCCCCAGAGAATAACAAAACACAGCAGAAGCGTGCCGATTCTTGAGGTAGGAAGGCGCTTGAAGTAGATTGGGGTCTGGGAAAATCCAACAAATATACCTACGTTCAACGACCGGCGTGTACACAAAGCGCGTGGCGCACCTGCTGGCGTGCCGAAGACCAAGGGTCGCCAAGGACCCCCAAAGAGGGCGTCGAGAGCAAGAGGGCGCCCAAAGCCAAAGGCGCGCCCAGAGCCGCAGGGGGCGCCGAAGACCAAAGAGGGCGCCGAGAACCAAGAGGCCAAGAGGGCGCCGAAAACTAGAGGGGTACCGAAAACCAGAAGGGCGCCGGAAACCGAGAGGGCGACGAAAACCCAAGGGGCGCCGGAAACCAAGAGGGCGACGAAAATACACGATGGGCCGAAAACCAAACAAAACCAAAAGGTGCGCCGAAACCAAAAGAACGCCGAAAACCAAAGGAGCGCAGAAAACCAAAGGGGCGCCGAAAACCAAAGGGGCGCCGAAAACCAAAGGGGCGTCGAAAACAACAGGGGCGCCAAAGGTTAAAGGAGCGCCGAAAACCAAAGAGGCACCGAAAACCAACGAGACGCCGAACACCACAAGTACACCGACAACCAACGGGTCGCCGAAAACCAAACAAGAAAGTAGCTTCGAAGCCTCCCCTCAAGCCAGGGCCCTCCACCTGGAAAAGCCAACTGAAGGAGGGGAGGGGGGGATAGCTTCGGAAGCCAACCCTTGCCTTGCAAAGGGGAGCCCGGGCTTCCGAGGCCCGAAAAGGAGGGGAGGGGGGGCAGCTTCCAAGCCCTCCATCCCCTTTAGCCAAGGACCCCCCAGCTACAACGTCTAAGCAAAGGGAGAGGCGGGTAGCTTCGGAAACCCCTGCCGCCGTTTGAAAGGGGAGCCCAGGCTGACTCCGGGCCCCGATCATGGGGGGGAGGGGTAGCTTCCAAGCCCCTCCCCCCTTTTAGCTGGGCCACCCCCCCAGCCAAAACACGCCCACAAAAGAGGGGGGGAAAGGGGGTGTAGCTTCGGAAGCTCCCACCCCCTTTCTAGGGGAGGGGTGTCTGTGGCTTGAAGCTGGGGCCCCCCTTTTGGTGAGGAAAGTGCGACGGGCCCGCTCTGTCATAACAAAACGTGCATCCTCCCCTTCTCCTCCTCCTCCTCCTCCCTTCTCCTCCTCCTCCTCCTCCTCCTCCTCCTCCTTCTCCTTCGCCCCACCCCACCCCTACCCCAATTCCAGCACCTCGGAACCTGCTGCCCAGGGCGCCCGTGCCTCGCAGTCATCCGCGGGTCTTCTCTATGGTCGTGCTCGCGCTCGTCGCCCCTGCGTGCTCAAGGTCAAGACCCGCCATGATCCCAAAAGGTCCTCACGGACAAGGGCGAGGCAGACGAGGAGAAGTGGCGACGAAGAACCGTCAGAAGCGGTCGGGGTCAGGGATCGAGCTTAACAGTGTTTTTCGGTATCGTAGTGTCTTCGTTCCCCCTCGTGTTGTCTTCAGTTCGCCTTTGCTGCAGCACGACATCGGAACGAACACGGCCCACGAAGTCGCCCAAACACACCGCTTGGGTCGACCCCTGGCCAGGACGGAGGGGGGCCTGGGCCAAGGGACCGAGCCGAGAGAGGCGAGGAGGGAGCCAGGCGGCGGGCGTGGCGGGGAAGCCTTCGGTGGCAACGCATGGGAGCCTCCCACATCATCCTGTCGGCTCCTGCGAATCTGCGCCAATCGACGCTGCATCGACGCTGAGTCGACGCTATAGGTCGACGCTGGGTCGACGCTGACCGACGCGAAGTCGGCGCTGTCTCATCGACTCCCAGACGCTCACCGACGCCGGCCGACGCTAAAGGACAGACCCGCGAGGGCACACACTGATTCGGACCCCTTTTCAGAGGCCTCTACCACAGGAGCCCCCCCATCACTGGTTTGCGCGCTCGGATTTGGTCCCCCCCACCCGGGGCGCCCTGGAGCTGCGCACGAGCAGGCCGCTCTTGCCTGCGGGGTCGCTCCTGCGTGCAGCCGGAGGCCGTGGACCTTCGGCGGAAGATACGGGGCTCCCATGATCTGCTGCGTACACCACGGGGCTCCCATGATCTGCGGCGTGCACGGGGGCTCCCATGAGCTGCTGCCGAGGGAAGCCGGGGGGGGGGCTCGGGCCTGGACCTCCACGAGCTGGCGGCTGCAGCCCGGGCCTCGGTGGCCCAGACGCGCCCTGGCCCCCCCCCCCCCCCTCTCTTCCCCCTGCCCCCTGCCCCCCTCTCCCCCCTCCCCCTCTTCCCCCTCTACAACTACTCAATATGAAAATACACTCCCTCTTCCCCTGATGGCGTCCGGGTGATGGCCGCGCACCCTCCGCGTACTGTTTTTTTACACACAGGATTCCCGGGAAATCCCGGGAAACGACTCTCGCTGAGGTGCCGGCGTCATTTTTGTCCCAAAATGCTGCTCTCGTTGGGGCGCCGGCCTCATTTCTGCTCCCGAATCGTTCCGAATCGTGTTCCCGCTGCAGCGTGGGCCTCATTTTCGGATCGGTGTTTGGCCTCCGTCGTTCACGATGGCGTTCTCGCCCCAGCGCGGGCCTTTTTCTCGCGCGCCCATCCGCCCGCCACCACCGCGCCGCACCGCCACCACCACCACCACCACCACCACCACCACCACCACCACCACCACCACCAACCACCACAACCCAGCACCACCAGTACCAACACCACCACCAGCACCACCACCACCACCACCCACGCACCACCACCACCACCACCACCACCACCACCACAACCACCACTACCACCACCACCACCACCACCACCACCACCACCACCACCACCACCACCACCACCACCACCACCACCACCACCACGACAACCACGCACACACGCACGCACGCACGCACGTGCACCACCACCCACTACGCACGCGCGCGCGGAGCCACAGGTCCGCTACGACACGCGTCCGCGGATAGAGAAAATCAGCGCCATGGTAAGGGATGGGAGGGAGGGGTAGGACGTCAGATATGACGCGAGCGCACCTAGCTTGTCCCCCCCCTCTCCCTCCCCCCCCTTTCTCCCCCTCTTCCCCCCCCCCCCCCCCCTTTTCCCCCTCCCTCTTCCCCTCTCTTGCCCCCCCCCCCTCTGCCCCCCCGCCCTCTTCCCCCCCCCCTCGTCCCCCTGCCCCTGCCAGCAGGGATCGGCCCGAGCAGCGTTCGTCGTTTTCGCTGCGTTTTCGTGGTCCCTCGCTCGGTCTTCAATACGCCTCTGCTCCAGAACGAGACGGAAGCAAGACCGGCCCATGAGGTCGCCAAAGCACCGTTTAGATCGACCCCTGCTTGCCAGTGCCCTGCGGACTCGGGTTTGGCCTGCTTCTTGATGCAGCCCTTGGGGGGGGCGTCCAAGCTTCAGCCATGCGCGGGCTACGTGCTTGGTTGGGCTGTTTTGTTTCTGAAGGTTGAAGCTCAGGGACGCGCCTCGTTTATGCTAGAACAGAGGTGCGCATGTATAATCATACCACGCGTCTGCCCACAGCTTCGTCAACGCACGCATGTTATGTATACACATGGATTGGCGCACCGTGTTTTGTGTAGCACTGACGTGTTTGGGTATATCACACATGAGCTTGTGCAACATGTGGGAACTGCATCACCAGCATATGTAGATACACATATATCAACATATGGGAATGGCATGCTCATCCAGCATAGGTAGTTCATACACCTACCTCAACATATACGTACATGTATGCACACGAACACGACAGGTGCACCTTGTTATCGCTTCGCGTATCCTCGCCAGCCCACGAGCCAGGAGATAGAAGAAAGGCGCCGCGTTGTTGCAGGTGGCTTGAAACATTCGAGTCGCCCTGTGTGGGTACTTGTCGCGCGCCCACTGCCAAGTGGACCCGACTGCACAGTATTCAGCGCTGGGGCGTAAAGGGTAGCCGAAGACTCTGCGCACCACCTGTTGCATATCGCCCACCCCGGCAATATCCGAACTGATCGCCGCGAACTCCACCCTCCACAGTTGGAATGAACCCAGTGGAGCTGAATGATTTGGAGATCGTAGGCAATGTAACCCACTAAGGCTAAACGAGATTGAGCTGGCAGGGAACATAGTACATTGGGTATGGATGGGCGACAGAGGGCAGGGTGTGCAACCCAGTGGAGACGAATGAGTCGTAGCTTGCAGGTGATAGAAAGCATTGGAGCTGATTGAGTTCGTGCTCGAAGGGAGCACAACACATTGAAGCTGAATGCGTTGCAGATCGCAGGGGATGGAACTGGGGACGACTGGGTGAGACAGGGCATATCGTGTAGTCCATGGCTTATGCATGAGCACAAGTGAGACAGGGCTTGGTCCGCTCCCTCCCCTCACTCACCCTCAAATGTCTCCTCCCCTTCCTCCGACTCCCCCCTCCCCCCCCTCCTCCTCCTCCTCCTCCTCCTCCTCCTCCTCCTCCTCCTCCTCCTCCTCCTCCTCCACTCCTTCTACGTCGACCTCCTCCTCCTCCTCCTCCTCCTCCTCCTCCTCCTCCGCCTCCTCCCCTGCTGCCTCCCAACTCCTCCTCCAGCCGAGCGACGCCCCCCTGCGGAGAGCCCGGCTAAAACCTTCCCGACGGCCGAGCGCCAGGCCGTCTCCGTTCAGGGCGACGCGGCTGCTGGCGAGCTCCTCGGCGTCGGCCCCAGCCCAAAAAGCGGCCACTTGGCCGCCCACCGCACTCCTCGGCCTCCCTCCGCCCAATCGCGGGACTGGCAGGGCAGGGGGACAGGAGGAGGGGCGGGAAGGAGGAGGAGGAGGAGGAGGAAGAGGACGAGACTGAGAATGGGAAGCAATAGGGCGCAATGTCCTACAGACCTGCCTGCCCGGGAACTGCCAGCCGAACCCGGGGAAAGATTCCCACTCGTGACGATCTTCGTGGCCTATTGAACAGCCTTCGGGGCGTCCTGGAGGCTGAGGAAGATTCCGTTGGAAATTCGCTCAAGGTGTTCGCTGCCTTGCGCCAAGATTTGCAAAGCTTGCACAAGGTGCCGACCGTCCGTCGTGGCCGGTTCATCGCTCACGGGGAACACAAACATACCGAAAACTCTGGCCACTCATGAATGTAGTGTGAGCCGCCAGCGGCCCGCTCGCCTACCAAACCAGTCCCCTGGAGGGCCTTAACTCCGTTCGGGAACCCGCAGCCACCGCCCACAGACGGGGCGAGGACGGGGGCGCAAAGCGTCTCGGCGACCTCCAGGACAGAGGATGAGGAGGGGGAGGGGAAGGAGGATGGGCAGGGGAAGGAGGAGGAGGCGGAGGAGGAGGCGGAGGAGAAGGAGGAGGAGGAGGCGGCGGAGGAGGAGGAGACGGAGGAGGAGGAGGAGACGGAGGAGAGGAGGAGGAGGAGGAGGAGGAGGAGGAGGAGGAGGAGGAGGAAGGAGGGGCGGCAGGGACACGGGAAGTATGGGGCATGGCTTGTCCAGGGGTCCGGAGGCCCAGGTCCGGAGCAGGCGGGACGTGAGGCGCAACAGAACAAGACGGGGGGGGGGGCACCGCGGCGCAGAGCGCGCACCCGGGCGGCCCGCCCCTGGAGCCGAAGCGGCGCAAGCGCGCACGAGCGCAGCACACGGAGTCAGGCAGAGAACGGGAGGAGCGCGGGGAGGAGTAGGAGGGGGAGGGGAAGGAGGGGGAGGAGGAGGAGGAGGAGGAGGAGGAGGAGGAGGAGGAGGAGGAGGAGGAGGAGGAGGAGGAGGAGCAGGAGGAGAAGAAGGAGGAGGAGGAGGAAGAGGAGGAGTAAAGAGGATGAGGAGGGCGAGGAGGAGGAGGAGGAGGAGGAGGAGGAGGAGGAGGAGACGGAGGAGGAGGAGGAGGAGGAGGAGGAGACGGGAGAAGCAGGGGCGCGCCTCGTGCCAACCCACCGCACATATGGCCCGCGCATGCCTCGGGGACACCATCTCAACTCGCTTCCCGAGACGCACCCTGGCCCCGGCGAGGCCGCCCCACGCCCAAGAGGAAACATGAAGCTCCGAAACCGAGCAAGGACAGGGACGCCTCCTCGCCGCCTGCCCAGGCTCGCCAGTTTGACCCCCCGCCGTGCCGCGCCTCAACGCGACTCGCGCAACTCTCGGCGGACGCTCTCAGCTCCGAGATCTGCTGCGCCGCCCACGCCTTCTCTGCGTACTCAGGCATCTCCTGCAGCGGGCGGGTGCAACGACGGGTGCAACGACGCGGTGGGCCGTCGGACAGGGAAGCTCATGGAGGAGAGGAATCAATCGGGAAAGCTGCTGGGGATCACATCGGAACGTCCTGCGAGAGGAAGCGAAAGGGTGCAACGACACGGTGGGCCGTCGGACAGGGAAACTCACGGAGGCGAGGCATCCATCGGGAGAGCTGCTGGGGACCTCGTCGGAACGTCCTGCGAGGGGGAAGCGAAAGGGTGCAACGACGCGGTGGGCCATCGGGCAGGGAAACTCACGGAGGCGAGGCATCCATCGGGAGAGCTGCCGGGGACCTCGTCGGAACGTCCTGCGATGGGGAAGCGAGAGGGGGGGACTGGCTAGCTTCGGCGACGCATCGGCATGGAATCGGCGGCACAGCGCCAACGGGTCCGCGATCGGCCCTGCCGCGGGAACCGCAGGCTCCCGAGCAGGGTGGGATGCCCAGACCCCGCTCGGCGACGACTGGGCGACGGAGGGGCCGCATGTCCGCTCCCTGAGCCCATCCCCCCCTCTCGCTGCCCCCCTCTCGCGGGAGGAGGGCGACAGGCCAGGAGGAGAAGGCAGAGGAGGGCGAGGAGGGCGAGGGCGAGAAGGAGGAGGGCGGGAGCGAGGTAGAGGAGGGCGAGGGCGAGGTAGAGGAGGACGAGGGAGGTAGGGCGAGGGAGGGAGAGGAGGGCAAGGGAGGAAGGGGTGAGGAGGAGGAGGAGGAGGAGGAGGAGGAGGAGGAGGAGGAGGAGGAGGAGGAGGAGGAGTAGAGGAGGGGGCGAGGGCGAGGAGGAGGAGGAGGAGGAGGAGGAGGTGACGGAGGTGAATCGGGGTTTCGGCCCCAGGTTGCGTGCCCTTCGGAGACGAACGCCTGCTTCACCATGTCGTGCGCTCCATCGTCCGGGGCCTCGGCATGCCAACTTACATATAACCCTGAACCTGGAAACCGCCTCACAAGTCGGAGACCTTCTTTCCACACGGTCGCGGCCTCGCGCGCAGCGACGAGGCGGAGTAAGTCGAGTAGCGGCTGGAACGGGCGCGCGCGGCCGGGCGCTCAGGCGGGATCGCTCTGCATCGCCGGACGTGCCAGCCTGCGGAGCGGCAGCCATCGCCATCCTGGGGAGGATTGCGGGGAGGGAAGGGGCACTGCCTGCCACGGGAGCGCCCCACGCGGTGGTCACAGCGCGAACCGGAGGGCGGCAGCGCATACCTTTCCACACTCGGCGGTGGACAAACCTCCCTTTAGTAAACCTCCCCTTAGTGAAACAGGCCTGGTCCCGAAACCGACGGACCTGGACCCACAAAAAGGACGGCCGCGCCGCCCTCTAGAAAACCGAAAACGGCCAAATTCCTTGATCGACGTGTCGGGGTAGGAGGTTTATCAACCTCCGACAGCCACACACACACACACGAACTGGGACACCCGAAACTGAATTAGCAAGCGGCCGCTGGCAAGACAGACCCCCCCGCGCGCGAAGCTGGAGAGCCCCGCGACAGGCGGCCACGACGCCGCCGGGTGCGAGCAGCGAGAGGCTCTCCGCGAAGAAGGCGCCGTGACTGACTGCAGCCCATCGTGGAGGCCAGGCGTGCGGAGCGCCCGACTAGCCGCAGGAGCATGCCAACGCGTGCCGGTGCGAGAAGCCTAGAATAATCTGAAGTGTAACGAAGTCCATCGACGTATCCTCGTCCCCCAGCTGCGTCACTGGCTCGTCGAGGAGGAGGAGGAGGAGGAGGAGGAGGAGGAGGAGGAGGACCAGGAGGAGGATGAGGAGGACCAGGAGCAAAGAGGAGGGGGAGGAGGAGGAGGAGGAAGAGGAGGAGGACCAGGAGCAGGAGCCAGCACAAGAGCAGGAGCACGAGGAGGACAACAGGGAGGGGCGGAGACCGAGGAGGCGGGCGCAGCGGAGACCGAGGGAGTTCTGGTACCCCCGAAGCGCATTCCTTGACCAGGGACTCCGACTTGAGCAGGGACCGACCGTCCCGGCATGCCTATAGTCCCACCACGAGATGTTCTTAGAACCCCAAAAAGGTCTAAGAACAAAAGCAATGCTCTTATGATATAATCCTGGTGTGTTAGAAGACAGACTCCGCCAGAAAAGTTCTACGAACCTTTCGTGGAAACCACAAAAGGTTATTTGAACATTGTTTGGTAGGGCTATAGGCGAGCCAGGACGCTCCGCCACTGCTTGAAACGAGGTGTCTCCCCCGTGCCGACGGCAGGGCGGGCCGGCAAGGCAGCAGATCTGAAGAGGCGTTGCGCCCAACAGCGTCAGGACTGCCGTGGGGAATGAATGCCTTCTTCCTCTGGGAAAGAGCTCGGATGCTGCACCTGTTTCGAGGGGGGGGGGCGTCTTCGTACGACGTGCCAGCCTTCTGACAGAAGTCGTGCCAGCGGCGAGTGCCATCATTTCTGCTCCTCTGATCCTGCTCATCGAGCACTGCATGCCCTGCTTGGCCACACAACCCGCGAAGAAGACATCGCTCCCCTCCTGGCCAGAACCCGCTGAACACCTGCCCCCGCGCCGAATCCCAGCCGAATCCGGCCCTCGCACGGACAGGCACGTCCGCCGACAACTGGCCTCATGGGGCTGCCCGAGGGGGATAGGCCGCTGGCACGCGCGGGCCAGAACGGCCTTCTGCGAAGCAAGGGCCAGTCGAAGCTGCCCTTTAGGCCTGGGCCCATCAGGAACACTCGACGACGCTCGCGAAACAGAACGAGAAAGGACTGCATGCACTTAATCCTTCGGAGGTCCGCGCGGATCTCTTGGGTCGGCACAGGATAACCTGGCGAGGCCTCTGGCGCCGCCCCTGGCCGCGCGCGCGGGGGAGGGGAATCCCCGTTGGGCTGGTGGGAATTATTTTAGATCCCTCCTCTTCCAAAAACCCTCTCCCCTTCGGGGAGGGGTCACCCCCCTTCCTCCCTGACGTTTTCTGGGGCGGGCCGTGTAGTGCCAGGGCGCCCAAGATGGCTCCAAGAAGGCATCCGATGCTCCAAGATGGCCGACGGTGGTTCTATATATAGCATTCGACATCTCCATGAGGCCCGACGAGGGCCATAAGACGGTTTCAAGTGCTCCCGGATCCCTCTCAGGACTCCCCCAAGAGGCCAAAATCTTCCAAAACCCAAGGAACATCCAGGATTGTTGACTTCTCGTCCTTTCGCTTCCGATGCGCATTTGAGGCCTCAGGATGGCCCCAAGATAGCCCAAGAAAGGCCCAAGATGGGCCCTACAGGTCCCAAAGACGGCCCCAAGAGCGTCAAAGAACGGCCCAAGAACACCCCAAGAGGCGATTTTGATGGCCCCAGGGAGGAAGGCACATCGAAGGCCACCCCTTATTTGATCGATAGCCTCCAAGATGGCCTCAAGACGCCTTCCAAGGCTCCCAAAGAGGCCCCCAAGAGAGCCGTAAAAGAGCTCCAAGAAGGCTCCCCAACCCGCCAAACTAGCCCCAAGAGGACCCACAGACCCCCAAAAGAGCCCCAAAAGGGACTCAAGAGACAGTTTTGAGGGCTCTGTCCTCGTCCTGGTTGTCCTCCTCCTCCTCCTCCTTCTCCTCCTTCTCCTCATCGTCCTTGCCCTCAGCGTGTTCCTTTTCATTTCCCTCATGTTTCTCATCTTCCTCGTCGCGGTCGTCTTCCTCGTCGTCGTCGTTGTCGTCGTCGTGTCGTCTTCGTCGTCGTCGTTGTGGTCGTGGTCGTGGTTGTCGTCGTCGTCATCGTCGTCTTCGTCGTCGTCGTCGTGGTCGTCGCCGTCGTCGTCGTCGTCGTCGTCTTCCTCCTCCTCCTCCTCCTCCTCCTCCTCCACCTCCCTCTCCGTCCCTCCACCACAGAGGCCCCGTGGATGGCCCATAGAGACCATCCAAGGCCACACCCCTGCTCCAGAGATCTCTCTGTTCACCCTGGTTGCCCGCTTGGTTTCGCTGCAGGTGCCTCTTCGTCCTGTCTCCCGTCAACTCTCATGGGCAGAGTTTGTGAAGGTGCTGGTGGGGACACACGAAGCGTGAAGATTTGTTCTGATGCTTCCTTGGTCATTCAACGAAAACAGAAGAAATCAAAACGCCATAAACATCAACGTTTAGCGCTCCGCGCGGATTTCCTGGATCTGCGCTGGGGCCCCCTAGCGGCGCCTCCGGCGCCGCCCCTGGCGCGCGGAGCGCGCCAGGGGGTGGGTGGGTCCAGCGCAGATCTGAGAAATCCGCGCGGAGCGCTAAAAGTTCATGTTTGTGGCGTTGTTTTCTTTTTTGTACTCCTTGGCCATTCAACCGAAGCGGCCTCTTCTCCTCGTCCCCCGCCCCGCCGTGCGGCGGGCCTGCAGGCGGCCCAGGCCGTCGTCCAGCGACGCCCTGAGCTCCGAGAGCTCCCTCTCCGCCCACGCCCTCTCCGCGTACCGCGGCCCCTCCTGCCGCGAGCCGGCCACGGCTGGAGCTTTCCACGCCACACCCCCCGCCCACCTGCCCTTCGGTCGGGCACGTCCTCCCACAGGCGGATCCCAGAAGCAACGTAACAACACAGCCCAAGGCAATACCAGAGATAGTCAGAAACAGCACGACCACTCGTCCCGAGACTACGTTCCTGCTATTCTGGAGCATCCCTCCTGTAGAGGGACATGCCCGACTCAAACCTGCCCCCTCCCCACCCTCCCGCCGGCGGCGCGCCCGGGGGGAAGGCAGCGGTGGCGGGACTTCTCCCGGCATGCCCAGAGAAGCTGAAGAGGCCCTGGGAAACACAACCAAATACACACACAAATAGAAATATTCTCCATATCTTCTAAGATGTTCTGTGCTTTTGTCTTCCCCCCACTTCCCATATTTTCCCATATTTCTCTGGGAATCGACGATTAATTGTGTCTGTGTGTTTCTTCCTCTCCTGAGAAGCCCCCTCCGAGGCCACGCGGGGAGCCTCGGAGAAGGCCGGGAGGCTGCTGGGGAGCTCCGCCGGCCCTCGCACCTCCCCCCTCACAGACCCCCCGACGTCATGACTGTTCCACGACGCGGCCCCCAGAGGTCTCCACCCGTTCCCCGGGACCGGTGTTTCGTCCAGAGTCGTTTTTTGGACGGCCCCGAGGGCCGGCGAGGGCCCCCAGAGGCCGAAGATAGCGAGAAACCTCCCGCCGTGCTGCCTGTTATGCCTCGAGGGGGTCTGGGCTCGGCTCGCCGCCGGGGCCCCGCCCGTTCGCCTCCCGCCCCCCGCGGCGGCTCGCTGCTCTCCCCCGTACTCGGCTAGGCGTATACGAGTGACCTTTGGGTAGGAGTGGCCTCTGGTGCGCAGCTTCTGGGGGTGCGCGAGGGAGCCAGACCCAAGGGCGCGGGCCGCTCATGTCGCATCGCGCTCGGCGCTCGGGGGGAGCTCGAGGAGCCCGCACCAAAGGGCACTCCGGCGAAAGGTCACTCTCACGTGTGCCCCGTGGCCCCGCCCAGACCCCCGCTCTGTGCCTCCCTGCCCGCTGCTCCTGGCCACCCCCTCCCGCGGCTCAGGCCCCGTCGGCCGCCAGCTGCGCCCGCGCCCCCTCCCGCCCCCGCGCCCCTCACCCCTTCCTCGTGCCCCTCGGCCATTCCCTTCCTCGTGCCCCTTCCCCTCACCCCTTCCCTTCCTCGTGCCCCTCGCCCCGCCCCCTCGCCCCTCGCCCCTTCCCCTCCTCGTGCCCCTCGCCTTGTGGATGCCATGACAGTGGACACTGTAACAGTCCGATCATTCAATGAAAGATGTGTTCAACAAGTGCAAGAGCATGTTCTAACAATGTTACAAACTTGTTTTTTTTTGAACAGAGCTAAAAACAGAATAGTTGAAACATGCTTCAGACATCTGGCAATTATTTGGCAGCAAGCTTCCTCTCCATTAGTCGACTTCCACAACCCTCGCCCCGCTCGCGCCCGAGGGGGAGCCGAGAGGTGCCGATGCCGCCAACCTCCCCTGGGCCCTGGATCTCTCCTGGGGTGCGCTCCGACCAGGATGTCGGGGCGGCGCCAGCGGGGGCGGGAGCGGGGCCTCCCAGGAGGTCCAAGAAGGGGAACGCGAGGGAAGGGGAAGAGGGCGAGGGAAGGGAAGGGAAGGGAACCAAGAGGGTATGGCCTTTTCCCCCTCTGAGCCGCTGCCTCCTTTGCCCCTTCCTCGCCCCCCCGCGCCCCGCGCGCGCCCCGACCTCGCCTGTTCTGGGAGTCCCGAAACGGTGCGGTGACAGACCGTGCGGGACCTCGGAACCCCAAAAGACCTCACCGCACGGTCCGTCAACGCACGGTTTTTTGGACCCTGGAGGCCCCTGTCGCCCGAGACGTCCTCGAAACGACTCGAGTCCCAAAACCGTGCAGCGACCCCGAATCCCCACCGATTCACCGCACGGTGTGGTCACCACCCCGTTTGGGGGCCCCCGCCTGTGCCTCGTCCGCCACCGCCCGATGTCGGGAGCGCCCGATGTCTGTGCACGCACGCACGCACGCACGCACGCACGCACGCACGCACGCACGCACGCACGCAGGCACGCACGCACGCACGCACGCACGCACGCACGCACGCGCACACACACACACACACACACACACACACGACACACACACACACACAAACACACACACGCACCGACCAACGCACCGCACACAACACACACACCACACACACGACGCACACGCACACGAACACGCACACGCACCACACGCACACGCACACGCACACGCACACGCACACGCACACGCACACGCACACGCACACGCACACGCACACGCACACGCACACGCACACGCACACGCACACGCACACGCACACGCACACGCACACGCACACGCACACGCACACGCACATATACGCACACACACACACACGCACATACGCACACACACAGACCCACACAGTCACACACACACAAGCACGAACACGCACAAGCACACACACAGACACGCACACACTCATAAACGCGATCACGCAAACACGCACACACACACACACATCCCGCGGCCGTTCCAGAGATCTCCGAAAGCGTTCTGGCACGCCCTGGAGTGCTTCGTCACCATCCTGGGCCCCCAGCCCTCCCAGCTCTCCCAGGCTCCCCCTCTCGCCCAGCTCGCGCCCCTTGGCGCTCGCGCGCGGCGACGCCCCCGCCCCGGTAGAAGTCAAGAGAAGTCGATCAGAAGCGAGCGTCACGCGAAGCTTCGATAGCAGTCCCGGAGCGAGCGTCAATCAAGAAGCCCCGGTAGTCTTCGATCGGCGGCCACGAGATGTCGAGCAGCGTGCGGGCGACGGCGGGGCGCCTCCGTGCAGCGAGCTCGGGCACGCGAGGCAGAAGAGGGGGAGGCGAACGCGGCCGGCAACAGAGACACGCTCGGCCTGGCAGCAGCCGCTGGACAAAACGGCCCCAATAGCAGGTCGGGCATGACCCCCTACACGCCGACCTTGGACGAAAAAACAAATATTTTCAAAACCTATGAAACACATCTTCAAATGTACTAACAACAATTGTCTCCATATTATGTTTAACATATTTTTGAATATCCTCCTGTAGAGGGATACGTCCGACTTAACCCCAGGGGCCAGACGGCCACCCGAACACGTCTGCGTGCTTGGAGATCTCTGGGCCCACAGGAGCGGCCCCGCCGAATCCCTCCCCAGAGCCTTGTCCCGCTGCTCGCCGTCCTTACCCCTGCTCCTCCGCTTCCTCCGGCACCAATTCCTCCTCCTGCCCAAAGAGAAAAACCGATGCCGCTAGTTACTCCCGTGCGTTTTGACCAGGTCTTCGAGGCCGATCCAGCGTTGGCGAGAACGGAAGAGCAGCGCCATCGGTACATCCCCTCCCCTCACGCAAGACGACGAAGACGACGACGACGACGTTCCCCGCCGGGCCTTCAGGCGACCCAGGCCGTCGTCCAACGTCGCCCTCAGCTCCGAGATCTGCTGCGCCGCCCAAGCCTTCTCCGCGTACTGAGGGCCCTCACGCCGCCGACCGGTGGCGGAGGGGCGGGGGGGGGTGAGGCTGGGGGCTGGAGGTTCTTGCGCTGCCTGCCCCATCCTGGGAGAAGAGTGCAACCGAGACATGGCCACAGCAACGGGGGTTAGCACCGACATCAACACTATCCTAGGGGGGCCCTGCGAGTGTCTGGAGCAGGAAGTGGGGGAGAGCGGGGAGGGCACACGAGGACGAGGAGGACGAGGGGCAGAGCCCGCAGGGAGGAGCTGGAGGGGGGGCAGGAGAGAGATGGGGGAGGCAGCGGCAAGACGACAAAGACCACGAGCCCCTTCGCCAACGTCCAGAGAGGCCCCGCGGAGGTACACAGAGCGAAGAGCAGTCCAAGGCGGAGGGCCCAGACACGAAGAAGATTACACGGCATCCCTCCGAGGGCTGGGGCTGTCTTACCCCTCGTGCCACCTGTGAGAAGAGAGAGAGAGGTCAGCAGAGACATAAGCTGTCGGAGGTCCGGGCGGATTCTGTGCGTCGGCGCTGGCCGCGAGAGACCCCTTCCTCCCTGCGCGCGCCAGGGCCCCCCAAACGGACAGTTTCTTTTCTTGTGAACCGAGACGTGGGCGCATCCAAGAGCAGAGCACTGCAACCGTGGGTCGAAATAACCATGCTCTACTCTTCGCGTTTCCTCCGGTCGATGTCCGGGCCTCTGGGGCTCCGAACGCGCAGCCAAAGGCCCCTAAAGCGGGACATTGCTGCCCAGGACTTTGGAAAGCCCGCCTGGTGAGCGTTTCCTTGCTCGGCGTTTCGACATTGGGAGGAAGGGGGGGGAGGGGGGGGTCTGGCCCGGGACCTCTGCTCAGCCGCTGTTTGCAACAGCACGTCCTAATCGTTTGGGAGGGACCCCACCTGCTCGAAGCCCGCGCCAAAAGCAGCCAAGATCTGCTCCATGGGAAGAGGGGTGGGGGGCAAGAGGGGGGGGGGGGGGGCAGGGCAATCGCGCGCCGATCGGCAAAACATCGGACAAGAAAACGATGTCATTGCCGACCAGGACTTGGCGGCGCACGCAAGGGGGTGGAGGAAGGGGGGAGGGTTTCTTAGAAGTAGGCTGCTTCTTAGAAGGCGCCAGCCCTGCATCTATAGAGCAGGCCCGCGCCTTCTAGTGAGAAGCAGGGGTGCTTCTAAGAAGCCTTCCCCTCTCCCCCCCACCCCCCTCTGCGCGTGGCTGGTTCACAGCCAACCCGTATCACAAGGATGCGCGGT